ATTGGACATCGATAGACATCGAGATGTACAACAATTATTGACGAACATTGCAATGTACACAAGAGACGACGTTGCAGACATTGACGGACAACCGCTATAACCGACGTACAAATATTAACCCCCGCTGTGCCCCGACGAGAATATAAATAACCCGAACGAGATGCAAGGACGACATTCGCAACAACGAGTCTGCGAGCAAAACAGCATCTGTACAGAATATACACAAGCGTATAAATACATTCACGTGGGGGGGAGGGGGGGGTGGGATTTGATTGTGTACACGGTGTGCACTGCGGGAGTTTACAACTCCGGGCGGCAGAAGAAGAGAGCGGGATGACGATTTCTCTCGCCAAGGGGAGGAGTCGTGATTCTCACGAGTCGTCACAGTGTACACTTGGCACTTGGGGTTCCGCGCACGATGTGCAAAACTTTCTTCTCTCCGGATATCCGAGGGCCGTTGTCTCGCATCAAGTAAATCGTAAGGACTGGGTTGTGAGGCTGTCGATGTGTGTCGTTTTACTTGTGTGTGTGTGTGCGTGCGTGTGTGTGTGCGTGTGTGCGTGCGTGCGTGTGTGTGTGCGTGTGTGTGTGCGTGCGTGTGTGTGTGTGTCGCGAGCTGTTGAGCACTTCGTTGCGCTCCGAACCCGCCTGCGAACCGGGTTCGATTCCCGCACGCGGCCAACACTAGCGGCGATCGTCTGAACCGGTCCTGGGCCCTCCCCTAGGTCGACTCAGACTCAAATGAGTACCTGGTGCGATGCGTAAACATCGCCACACGCGGGAGACAAAGGCGGCCGGGCCGTGGTGCTGGGCCACCCACCCCTCCCCCCCCCACTCGTGTGCCGTGATGGCCTTCATAGGTGCTCGCTTACAGCACTTGCCCCAACAGTCTGTTAAGGATATAGGGGGATCTTTGTCTTTGTGGTATATGGGTTCGATTCCAGGCCACGGATAGACATTCGTAGTGCGTGGTATCTGAAAACCTTTGATCTGGGCCTCCTACTACCGGCCATGAATAACGAGTACCTGGTGCGGTGTGTAAACATCAACATTGGGGAGACAAAGGCGGCCGGGCGTGAATTCGACCACACCAACCACCCCCATCTGGCGAGCCGCGTCGCCCTCAATAGGTGCTCGCTAACAGCAGTCGCCCCACGAGAGTCTACATCGGTGGCGGAAGATCTCTGCCGTCGTGAGAGTGTTTGTCCGTGTGAGAGAGGGCACCATGGGAGTGTATCAGTGCATGCGTGTGTACATTTGGGAGAGGAAGAGAGAGAGAGAGAGTGCATGGAGGAGCTTACACAAACACACCTGAGCAAACAATACCACGTCACGTCTCGCAAGGTCGCACCGCTAACACCATTCGTACTGCTCCACTCCTTCACCTCCCCTCTTGTCACCCCCGGGCCTCCCCTAGATCGACTCAGCCTAAACGAGTACCGGGTTCGCCGTGTAAATATCGGCAGTGGGGAGACAAAGGCGGCCGGGCGTGGCGCTGGCCACCCACCCCCGTCGTGTGCCGTGCCGGCCTTCGTAAGGTGCTCGCTTACAGCACTTGCCCCAACAGTCTGTTGAAGGCTATACGGGGGATCTTTGTCTGCGTGTGTATATGTGTGTGTGTACGTGCGTGCGAGTCTGTTCTTACGTCTGCTTATATACAATGTGGTATGTGTGTGTCCGTCCATTTGTCTCTGCGCGTGTCTATGTGCGTATGTACGCACGTGTGTGTGTGTGTGGCACGGTGCCGCTCCCTCACAGCACTTGCCGCAACAGCCTATTAAAGGTGACACGTGGGGATCTTTGTCGTCGTGTGCACACGTGTGCCTCACACCTGCACACGTGTGCCTCACACCTGCACACGTGTGCCTCACACCTGCACACGTGTGCCTCACACCTGCACACGTGTGCCTCACACCTGCACACGTGTGCCTCACAGCTGCACACGTGTGCCTCACACCTGCACACGTGTGCCTCACACCTGCACTCGTGTGCCTCACAGCTGCACACGTGTGCCTCACACCTGCACACGTGTGCCTCACACCTGCACACGTGTGCCTCACACCTGCACTCGTGTGCCTCACAGCTGCACACGTGTGCGGCACAGCTGCACACGTGTGCCTCACACCTGCACACGTGTGCCTCACAGCTGCACACGTCTGCACCCGTCAGCCTCACCACCTTCTGCCACACGCTCCGCGCAGGTGCAACGCGATTGTCGGACTGCACGAACAACATCCTCGTAAGCCATTTTAAACCAATACATATTAAATTACCTAATTATTTATAAATACAACCCATAGCCGCCTCGCATAGTACGGCCATTTGCATTTCATACGAATATTGTAATATTTTCTTGCAAATCTGTACGTCACCTTTGCAAAGTGATTTCATCTCGTGCGTCAACTGCGCCTCTTCTCGTGTATACCGACACTTTTTGTCTCGACTATCTTCTCGCCCTGATTCGCTCGCGTTGTGCTCCGTTCAAGTGCACGGCCGCATTCTCCGAATTGTAAGACGCTCCGGAGAAGAAGACGCAACTCAAAACTTGTGCGTGGTGTGAGTCAAGTTACACACAACCCTGGTGTTTCACACACACACGCACACAGCTCCCGGATTATAAGACGCAACCCGCAACTTTTGCTTTAAAATAAAAGGGGGGGGGGGGAGTGCGTGTTCTAATCTGGGGCAATACGGTAATGTTAAATTTATTTTTAAAAATGCAGTATGTGCATCTCAGCCCATCATCTTTATCTTGGTCGACAAATCCCTACGACTTTATGGGAAGTCAACAGCGGTTTTGTTTAACGCGTCGTAGGCTTTCGCGACCAATACTATTCATAATAAAGGTTGTTTTGGGTTTCGATCGTGTAAGTATAAATGTTGTGTCGTAGCCCCCCCCCACCACCCGACGCAACCGGTAAGGTTTGTCACGTGAACAAAAACGTGACAATTAGTTACCGCTTCAGCCCACCGGTGTGTTGGAGAGTAAATCCACATTTACAATACGAGTAGGATGTTTCGCTGGTAATTACATCCAGCATCATCGGCCGATTTACCAGAAGAAGAAAAACCTTAATTACGAACACGTAGGCTTTCGCGACCAACAGCATCCGTAATACAGGTTTTTTTGTGGGGTTAGATCGCATAAATATATAAATGTGTCGTTAAAACCCGCCACCACCCGACACAGCCAACTAGTAAGGGTTGTCACGTAAACAGAACGTGGCCAATTCGTCACTAGTACAGCACACCGGTGTGTTGGAGAGCCAAGCCACAACATTTACAATTGTTTAGGTGACAACCCTTACTAGTTGGCTGTGTCTGGTGGTCGCGGGTTTAACGACACATTTACATATTTACGCGATCTAACAAAAACAAACTCTATTATCAGTCGTTTTCTTGTAGATTGACTGCTCCCTGCCATAGCAATCTGGAATTACCATCACTGCTTCGGAAAAGCCAAAGTTTATGTGCGCACTAATTCAAGTGTTTATATTTGTGCATGTACAATCACTTTATCGATCCCCTGCTGGATGGACGAGAGTCTCCCCCACGTAGTATGGGTTCGTGGGGATTGTTTTGACCATGCTTCACCACGCTGGTGTGTCCTCGCCCGTGAAGGTGGAGTGCATAGCACAGTTTCACAACACGACGTCTTTCCGTAGCAGCCTGTAGCACCTGCTTCACGCATGCATAGTGGTTGCCCATTCAAGCACTACCCAGGCTCAAATCTGCTTAGCTTGGCTTCCGAGATCTACGAGTGCAGAATAATTGGGGGAATCAGGCTGGATGTGGTGAGAGAGGAAGGTTGTAAGTTCATGTTTTATTTGAGGCTCCACTCAACCTATCATCCCCTCCCCTGGTTGATAAATCGGGTACCGCATTGTTAGAGGTCACGAGAAGTCGTTCTATAGGGCCAATGGGCCCTTGCCCGATTAATGCGGATTGTCCACCTCTGGTTCAGGATTTCCAACAGCGATGGGCTGGACTGACCGGGGAGATTTGTTTCTATCCTCTGATTGTATTCCAATCGTGCTATGGGTGTGACATCGTGAGATGAAGACTCCATTCACTCGGGACTCTCACAAGAGCACCGCGTCATCCCGTACGAGAAAATGACCCTGCGGAAGAGAAGGTCGCAGAACTACTTTTGAGTTCCATTTAAATCGCCTCTGGAACACACTGTCGGTTGCTTCACTCTTTCTCGTGCCTTGCTAGAGGTATTATAATGTGTCATATAGGCTGACGTCTTAGGGCAGACATTTCGGTCAATGTCTCTTCTTCAGACAAGAGAAGGGCTATTGCCCCCGAAACATCCACCTGCTATGTATATTTTTTTGTTTCATTATGAAGAATTGTTAATCACCAACGTGGTGTTGTTCTTAACAATGCATATCGTCTACTGGCGACGCTGTCGCTTAAATTGTCTCCTATTTACAAATATTTAACCCTTAACATTTAGCGGTACAAAGAGCAAACATCGACAAACTGTTAAATCGTGATCTTAACACTCGTGTTTGTTTTCTCTCTCTCTCTCTCTTAGATGTTTATAATGTGCCCTTACTCGAGTGCTAAGTGCCTCATTGGCGACACGTGCTTTCTGACTGTAAGCTCCGCGTTCTGCAGGCGGGAGGCTCTCGGCACGAGGCCGTGGGGAGCCGCTCGGGCACGAGGCCGTGGGGAGCCGCTCGGGCACGACGCAAAACAGAGAGCCTGAAACCGCTTCCTGCGACCGTTCGCCCAGCGCGCGTCTCTCTCTCTCTCCCTCCCTTCCTCTCTCCCTATATTTGCTGAATGTCCGTAGGTGTTTTTTTGAGCGCTCTTCAGACCGAAACTGAAACCGGTGTGGGCCATCTCCACGCAGCCTGAGACTGGGAGCTTCCATTCACCCCACCCCCGCTCTCCAAAGTGCTCAGAAGCGTTAATGACCGTAGCTGCCTGTGTCTAGTTTTTCTCTCTTGTTTCTGCCGATTGGCAAACCACCTTCCCATCAACCCCCCAAGCCCATCCCACCCCCAACCCACCTCCACCCATCGCATCCACGCAACTCAGTCAGTGGCTCGGCAAATTGTTCGCCGTCTCGTATTTTAGGATACAGCGTCCGCTGTCCCCACCCCCACCCGCGCCAATCTCGAAATCTCGCTCGGTGCTCAGCGACAACGAGAATCCCGAACCTACACCGCGGGTTCGAGCGTCCTCCTGGTCGTCGAGATTCCCCGAATCGCGCTCCCCTCCTCCGCCCCGCCATGCGGCGCCACCCCCTCCACCAACGGCGTCGTTTCGTCGATGCTCCGCACGCTGTCCCTGGCGACGCTCGTCGCGCTCTCGAGGTCGCCCGTCGCCAGGGACGGCCGCCTCTCGTCCAGCTCCCGCGCGCTGCACGGCGACATGGGCGCCTCCACCGCCCTCGTGGCGTCGAACTGGCCGTAGTCCACTCGGTAGTGATCGCCCTCTTGGCGCAGCACCGGTCGGAACTCGTGGCCCCACAGGATTTCGCTCGCCAGGTAGGAGCTGCGCGCCTGCGTCGTCATCGCCGTGGCCTCCACCATGCCCTCCAGGATGACCACGATCTCCATGTCGTCGTAGTCGTCGTCGCCGCCGTCTAAGTTGTCGCCGCCGTTGCCGGCGCATCCCGCCTCGAGGCTGCTCCTGCTCATGTCGTACAGGGGGCTTCGCTCGTCGATTTCGTGCACCACTGTGTAGGGCGACACGAGGAAGATTCTGTCGAGGCCCGTGTCGAAGCCGACGTTCACGTCGTCCTGCCTCATCACCACGTAGTTACGCTCCGCCGATCTCGTCCGGATGAGCTGCGCGCGGACGTGCGCCTCCACGATGTGACTCCTCCGTAGGTTGCCCACGCGCCACTCGAGGTAGCGCCTGCCGCCCCTCTCGTTCACCACGGCCTTGTCGCTGAAGCGCAGCGTCCGCGCGCGCTTCTTGGGCCGGGCCATCTTGGCCATGATCACGCCGATGGTGAAGCAGTCGACGAGGCAGCCGACGATCGACTGAGCGACGACGGCGACGATGGCGACGGCGCACTCCTCGGTGACGCAGCGGAAGCCGTAGCCGATCGTCGTCTGCGTCTCGACCGAGAAGAGGAACGCCGACACGAAGCCGTTGACGTTGGTGACGCAGGGCGGGCGCGGCGCCGCCGCCGCCGACGCCGACGACGACGCCGCCGCCGCCGCCCTGGGGCCTCGCGCCGCCGTGTCCCCGTGCCACCACGCGGCCAGCCAGAAGACGAGCGCGAAGAGGAGCCACGACAACAGGAAGGCGACGACGAAGACGGCGAAGGCCGCGCGCCAGCGAGCGTCCACGCACGTCGTGAAGAGGTCGGCGAGGTACCTCGGCCAGCGGTCGTCCATGCCGGTCACCTGCACGTTGCAGCGGCCGTCCTTGTTGACGAAGCGCGGGCGACTGCGACGCCGCGGGCTCCTGGTCATCGACGGCGACGGCCGCTGGCCCTGCGTGCCGTTGGAGGCGTTGGGGCTCGAGGTCAAGGCCGTGGTCAGCGTGGTGCTGCCCGGGGCCGGCGGGGCGTCGACGGCGATGTTGTTGATGTTGTTGTTGTAGTGGCGCGCGCCGATGAGGGGCTCCGTGGGCGGGTTTCTCATTGCCAGCTCGCGGGGGTTTGTGGCGACTGAGCTGCTCATAGTGGTCATCAACATGAGTTGACAGTCGACCAAGAAACAGCTTAATATAAAAAAAGATGTATACTATACAAATGCTACTCGACCTCCAACATAAACTACTGGACTCTCTGGGGGCTGCAGGGAGACAGCGTGAGACTTCACAGACGAAGGACTCTGGATAGAGTCCTTTGTCCGAGTCCTATGCACCGAGTCGCTTGCCTGGACTGATCTCGTGACGCGAACAGGAGTTGGCGTGAAACGTGTTCCTTGTGCGCGCCCGGGTCGGGGATCGGTCGAGGGCGTTTCCGCGAAGGGAGGCAGCTCAGACTGCGTCGAATGGAGCTGGAACCCAGAGAATGAAGAAACAAGGAGTCCAAAGGGTTCAATTTTTAGTTTCGTCTTGAGGGCGCGGTGGTAATGTCCTGTAAAACACAAAGACACAACACACACACACACACGGTAGCACTTACGCAAAAAACATTGAGAAAGACAGAGACCCCCCCCCCCCCCACCAAGTAGCCCGCATATAACAGATGTGGCAAGTGCTGTGAGCGAGCACCTCTTAACGCACAAACAGGGGTGGAGGTGGCGGTCTCAACACGTGTGTGAATGTTTGCTGAACTTCTCTCGCACCGTACGTAGCCAACCGAACTCACGGTCGCACGTATCTGCAGTACCGGGGGGGGGGGGACTACTAATTGTACGCTGAGTCGACCTAGAGGAGGGAAACGCGAGGTTTCCATGACATGCCACTGGAGAGACGATGTCACACGCCGACCCTTGCTTACTGCTGTAACTTCATTGTTTTTGATTTAAAGCTTTCGTGACTGCAGTAATTCATATTCTTAGTTTTTTGTTATTTTGTTGTTTCTCTTCAACGTGACTTTACCGAAGAAACTAAGAATATTCATTGTTTTTGTTTCGTTTTTGTCATCTTGCTACCCATGGTCACTCTTGCAAATAGGACTCATCCTGCTCTCGTGAGTTATCCCTTGGTTAAGCAATAAAGGCGTGAACTTGAAACGCACGCGCACGAAAACACCGATGATATGTATCAAACCCACACCCACATACGCGTCCACACTCATTCACACACACATACAAAGACAGAGATCCCCCTATAACCTTAACAGACTATTGGAGCAAGTGCTGTTAGCGAGCACCGGCACGGTACACGAGGGGGTGGGTGGCCAACACCACGCCCGGCCGCCTTTGTCTCCCTAATGCCGATGTTTACACACCACACCAGGTACTCATTTGAGGTTGAGTCGACCTAGGGAAGGCCCAGGACCGATGCATATATTCGTCACATTCACAAAACAACCAACCCCATCATCTCTCATTCACAACGCGTCAACTGCCTCTCCCTCTTTCTCTCTTATCAAAAGACAAAGATCCCCCGTATAGCCTTAACATACTGTAGGGGCAAGTGCTGTTAGCGAGCACCTATGATGGCCGGCACGGCACACGCCCGGCCGCCTTTGTCGCCCTAGTGGCAATGTTTACACACCGCACCAGGTACTCATTTGAGGCTGATTCGACCTAGGGGAGGCCCACGACCAGATAATCATCACTGGTGTTGGCCGTGTGCGGGAATCGAACTCGGGTCGTCAGCTTTGTATCACAGCGCGCTTACCGCTACACTACCGCTCCCCACTTTCTCTCTATCGTGCGCACACACACACACACGTGCACACACACACACACGTGCGCACACGCACGCCACCAGGTTGCGCCAGCACACATCCGCACACACGGACACACGGACACACACCCTGGACGCGTGCCTCAAATCTGCTCGAGTCACCCGACCCTGGCTCGCTCGTCGCCTTCATTTGCTCGAGTTAAAGGGCGCCAGCGATGCACAATGAGATATCGCCTCCACCAGAGGCGACTGCCACTGCTCGGATCAAATGCGCGCGTCACACGCACCCGCGCGTCGGCCACGTGCTGCGTCTCGGCCTTAGCCTCAACATTTACCTGCGGTATTCATTGATCCACGCAGAAAAGCCATCACGAGTAGTACGACTTTTGTATTCATTTTATAAACATTTTCCAGCCAATTTATGATGAGCGATTTTATGCACATGGGGAGGAAACCGGAGCAACTATGCCCGAATAACCACCCACCTCACTCCACGCCTACCCAAGAACCGCCCCGTCGGCCTCCCTGTGCAGTTGCACCGCCTGCGCACTCGCTAGCTACCGCCACCGCCACTCACTCTGAATGTGAAGGACGAAGCGAACTGTGGATGAGTGAGAGGGTGTGTGGGACAGGTGCTGGTTTGGTCAAACTTGAGGGTTGGTGGGGGGGACAGAGGTGGGGGGGGGGGGATTGAGGGGCATTGGGGGAATACAGAGGGAGCCCGGAGGGGGGAAGGCGCTTCAGGAATTTGTGGAAATGAAGAAGAGAAGCCTCTTTGTTAACGCGGAGTGCGAGGGCAGCCGACAGCTGACTCGGGCGCCAGGAGGCTTTCTGACGCAACACTGAGTGGACACACACACACACGCTCGCATACATGTGTACACACGTATACACTCACTCACAATCTCACACGCGTGCACGTGTGCACAAAGACACGGGTCCCCCCGATTAGGCTCGAACAGACGACTGGGGCGAGTGCCGTTCGCGAGGACTCATGGAGGTCGGAGCGGTGTGGCTAACACATTGGGCGGCCAGCGCTGACGTTGATACAACCACACCAGGTAGCGATTTGAGGCTGTGTCGGCACAGGACCGGTTCAAATAATCGCCAGCGTTATTCGTCGTGGGCGAGAATCTAACTGGGGTCGCACACAGTTAGAAGCACAGGGTTGGCTTGCGGCAAGTAAATGCGTGCGCGTTGAGCTTCTTTCGCACCGTACGTAGCCAACCTTGCTAATCGGAGGTGCCGGAGGACAACAAATGTCCTCGCCTTACTTTTGACCGTCCCTTACGTTCTCGTCTGTAGGTGAGACCGATAGAGTGAGCATCGCGTGAGCTTTACTTTCAGAACCTGAAACTCATAGCCCCCCCCCCCCTATTCCCTCGCGTTGCCCCCCCCGCCTCCCACTTGATGTGCACGTGCGTTGGTCGCCTGTGACGTGGGCACTCTTAGGGCTCCAGTGTCAACTTCACTCATTCGCAATCCGGATGCGTGGACCTGCGCGTGGCTTCTTAAGCCACCGCTGCGCACACAATCGCCCTCGAATCCGGGTGTGCGAATCATTAGACTCGTACAGACACTCGCGTACACGCACGGGAATCACATACGGAACCTCACATGCATGCACGTGCATACGGACAAAGATCCCCCCCCCCTGTACAGCCTTAACCAACTGTCGGGGCAAGCGCTGTAAGGGAGCACCTATTGAGGTGGGTGGCCGGCACCACGCCCCGGACGCCTTTGTCTCTCCGGTGCCTCATTTGGGACTGAGTCAACCGAGGGAAGGCACAGGACCGGTTCCGATAATCGTCATCCCGCGTTGGAGGTCGTGAGCGGCAAACGAACTCGGGTCGCCGGGTTCGTAGCGCAGCGCGCCAACCACTGCACCACCGCTCCCCGAGTGCAAACACGCGCCGACACACAAGCACCAACGCCAAAGACAAACATGCCCGTGTAGCCTTTGACAGGCGATAGGTTGCAAGTGCTGTTCGCGAGCACTTAATAAGCTCGGGACAATGCACGAGAATCCCGTGAGGTTAATATGACGACCGCCAGCTCGCCCACCCGCCTTTGTCTTCCCAATGCTGATGCTTTACACCCTGCAGAAGATGCTAGAAAAAAGTTGAGTTTAAAGTATGGATACTGTTGGCCTCCGGGCAGCTGATGGATGTGTGGCAGCTGATGGATGTCTGGTTCGTGCGCGTGTGTGTGGTTGGGATATGTGCTTGTGTGTCAGTGGCCAACAACAGTGACGATGATCTGACCCGGTCCTGGGCCTTCCCTAGGTCAACTCAGCCTCAAATGTGTACCTAATGTGGTGTATATATCACCACTGGGGATACAAAGGCGGCTAGGTGTGGTGCTAACCACCCACCTCCTCGTGTGCCGTGTTGGCCTTCAAAGGTGCTCGCTGACAGCACTCGCCCCAACAGCCCGTGGAGGCTATACGGGGGATCTTTGCCGTGGCGTGAGCGTGCGTGTGATATGTGTGTGTGTGAGTATGTCAGTGCTGGTGCTCTTGCTGAAAGTACCCTACACACCCTGGAGGCTGCAGGCTGTACGCGCCATGCGTGTGCGCGTGTACGAGTATCAGCCTGGGGGCGCGTGTGTACGGCGTGCGCGATATGCCGTGGTGGCAATGTGTGGTGAGTGATGTCTGTATGCATCGCGTGACCCGAAGTGCGCGTGTTTGGTGGGGGGAGCGGTGGCGCAGTGGTTAGCGCACGACGCTATGGACCTTGCTACTCAAGCTAAGTTGAACTATTTTAAAAAAAACGGTCCTGAGACTCCCCTTGCAACAACCGTCAATGCCCAACGTGGTGAAGTATGGTCAAACTACCCCGATAACCCACTCAGCGTGGAGAGGCCTTCATCCAGCAGTGGATTTATAAATGGAATACATATTGTGACTTTTTAGAGCCAAGAGCTAGTTGTGAATGCCTGCATGCTCATGACGGGACCCATTAAACTTACCCTTGACCTCTCCAGAAAGTGGTACTTAATTTATCGACCCAGTTGAACTAAGGGATGAATCGACCAGCCGGCCAGGATTTGAACTCACATCTTTGCAAGTTTCTGTCGTTACACTCGACAATGCTCAAACTACCTCGCAAACTATCGTAAGTTCAAATTCAAGTTGGACGGTCAACTCATCGCATCAACCCTCTGAGATCGATCAAATACGCACCGCTTTGTGGGAGATCAACAGCCGTTCACCATCGTTAACGTATAGACAGAACCTCGCCATGGAAATGTGGAATTTCCACCAGTATCCTTGATTAAGAATAACGTCGTAGTGGCAGTTAAGAGAGGGAACATGCCCTAGAGAGAAGACATCTACCGGGGAGATGGAGCGGTGAATTCCGCTCCTGTTGTGCTGTGCCGAGTCTTAAATCGCAGGATCGTGAGAGATGGTGATGGATAATGAGAGGTTTGCATCGAGCAGTGGATTGATCATGGCTGATGCTGATGCATTGACACTCGCTAACAGCCCTTTTCATCCACACACACTTAGCCGAGCGAGTATTACTTTGGATAATGCATTCGACAAGAACGCTGCCTTGAAGGGGAAAATTACATACCTAGATAATAGGCGACGTTTCGGACCAATGGTCCTTCGTCATGGCAGGACAACTGACAAAGCTGAGCGCCTCCACCACTTCTCGTCCGAGCATGTACATAGCCAAGGTGCGCTTTTAACTCACATCGACTTTTATATTTACGCGCGCGAAGAAAGTTGCTCACACTTACCTCTGCTGGATTGCCTTGCAGGGCTCTGAGGTCTGGGACCATCACCCACATTCCATTCAAATGCCCTCGGGTCTTGGCCGGTAGCCAGGGGGGGGCAGCCAGGGGGCAGTCAGGGGGCGCAGTGTGGCAGCCAGGTGCGCACACCTCCGTTGCTACACTGGAACGGACCCCCCCCCCCCTCTCTCTCTCTCTAATATCCTCTCCACTCGTTCCGGTGTCCAATCCGCGTTCACAATTCACTCGCGCCGCTCTTCCCAAACACCCAAAATGCGGCAATGACTCCGCCGCTGTTCTAACCATACACGCGACGTCGCATCATGCAACTCGCGTAACTTATTGATGTGTAACTTTAGCGCTGCCGTGTGTGTATGATTGCGTCTGTATACGAGTGGGTGTTGATATGAAATAGACGCGCGAGTTGTGTGTGTGTGTGGTTGTTGTTGTTGATTTTGCTGTGTAAGGCGCTTGTTTCTAATCTGCGGGTCGCTGCCGCCGCTGCTACAAGGAGCGGTGGAGGGTTGTGATCTCTGGGTCTGTGTGCGCGTCGCCGTCTCCCTCCGCCGGAGTTTTTATCCGACTTCTCAAGCCTGCAACAGCTGTTGGGGTGGGGGGGATGGTCGTGGTGACGTGTTGGAGTGGCCTCCTTCTTTCTCGCCTCCCTCCCTCCTCTCTCTCCAACGCTCCCTCCCCTCCGTCATCCGCCCGTCCCTCCCTCCTCCCCATACCAATCCCAGCATCACTGCCCCCTTCTCCCATTGCCCCCGCGGCGGCTTCGAGTAGGGGCGTTGGGGGCAGCGGAGAGGGGGCTGGGGGCAATTTGCCTCGGGCATCACAATAAATAAGTGTCCTACGGAGGGCATGTTTCCTTGCCACTGTTGAGTAAATGGTGGAGGTGGGGGGGGGGGGGGGGGCACGTGGCATTTATGAACTCTGGGGTTACACCAGAACCCCTGGGTGACTGTGGTTGCATGCAGCCTTCTCGCCCCCACACCCCCCGCACACACCAGACCTCCCCACCACCTCGCGGACTTTAAGCCGTGAAGGTAATGGGATGTTGCCTACCCGCACGCACGCTGATGGGCTGTTAGGCACACCCCAATCGCACCACCCCCCTGCGCCACCATGCACGCAGCCGCCTCTCTCGCACCGCATCGCGCGCGTTCCCACGTGCGGTACAGATACAGGATATAGTTTAAAATGTAAACATGCGCTTCGGTTCATTTATGCTTCAAAATGATGCCTTGCTCAGATGAGCGTTAAAGGCGCGTGTGACGATAAATTGCATCTCCTGGTTACAGTCCCGAGTCACTGGGTCAGTGGTGGAAATTCGTCATGGGCAAAGTCAAGCCCCCAACCAGGATTTGAACTCGCAATTGTAGAATCAGAATCTTTATTTATACCGGAGAAATCCCATGAGCTGTAGAGCTCTTTTTCACAGATGTCCAGTCGGGGCACGGGGTCAGAACGTACCACATCAAACAATACAAAAAAGAAACCACGGTCGAAGTGCGACGTATTGGAAAGGTAAACAAATCACTTAAAAACATTCGCAAATAAAGCTAAACCATGTTTTTTTTTTGTATCTCACCAGGTAAACCCCACTGAGCTAAGAATTGCGAGCTGCTCCCTCCACTGCTCAGCCACGTGGCCCCTTTGGGTTGAAGGTGGCAGTGGAGGGGAGGCACGGGGCCGGGGGGGGTAGAGATCGCGATCGGCGAACTACGATACCGTGACGCTGATATCGTCAAAGAGCATCAACCATCACGCGAACTTCGCTCATTTTTGCAGCGGCAGCGGCGGCAACGGCTTTTGGCTCAGCCATCGGACAAAGATGGCCAACGCATCGCGCGCTTTCCGATGCGTTTCTCTACGGCCGTCTGGAACGCTCTCCCTTCCGACATTAGGAAGCCACTTGGAGCTTTGCACTTTTAAATTGAGATTGGAAGAAAAAAAACATTCTTGAGAACTGCTTTTGTATTTAGTTTGTTGTCCTACCCCCCGCACCTCCGATTAGCACGGTGCAAAAGAAGTTCAACGTACATACGGAAGGGGTGGCGGCGGCGGCGGCGGCGGGGGGGTAATATACATTGGAACATGGTACAGTACAACCATGGATTCCACTGCAGTGCCCTCTATCCGCCCACAACGTCGTCCGACAGCAGCCTTCAACAGCCTGGTGTACGCAGCGGACAACTTCAAGTTCATTTTTTGTACAACCAGGTGAGAGGAGTCAAGTGACTCCTCTCGAGGGCTGGGGAGTGGGGAGTGGGGGGGGGAGGTTGTAACTGGTGCACCACCACCCACGGAATCAAGAGCTCTCGATCCGTCGATAGGGGGCGACGATTGCCGCTGTTGGTCGAATCCCAATTGAGGTCGTCGCTTCGTGGTGTCATTTTTTTAAAACTTTGCTTCAAACGTGTACACCCTGGCGCCGGGTGACCTCGGCGGATATTTGCCGGCGGCCGCGGTGAAGCGTACTGCGATGTGCACCCTCGCGGTCGCAATGAGGGCACACTGCTCGATTCGGAACGGGAAACGCCGCGACAGCGGTTGGCGAGAGCGCGCTACCGCCAGGCCCGTGTCACAGTCAGCCGGGTCGCCCATCCGAGCACTAGCCAGGCTCGATCCCTTGCTTAGATTGCGAGATCTAATGATGACAATGATGATTTATTCACTCACTGTTCCAACGTTCATAAACGTCCACGGCAATTTCACTTTGCGTATCAGAGGGAGGGATTTCCGCGGATTTTTTAAAATTTTATTTTTACCAGAATATCCTCCTTTCTCCCACACAAACCTCCGGCGACGTTTCGGCCAATGACCCTTCTGTGCAGCACAGAGAGGCCTCTATTTCTATGGCTTTTCTGTGATGTGAATAAGGGCGATTGCACAAAACGTCGACATTTTAAAGCCACAATGTTATTGACGAAAATGTTTATTTTTTTTGTTTTGTTTTAATCATGAGATTTTAGATAAAGTCGCTCATTCAGTTACGATCGTGTACTGGTATATACCTCGTTTCCACGAGACAGCCAACTGTAGTCGACAGGAGACTGTTGCTCTGATTTCTCTCAGAACTTGAGTTGAAAAACAACTAGAACTTGGCAACACGGTAAAAGTGATATTTCCATCATTTTCCATGTTACACAAATTATCACGTGAGCTGGGCAGCTCTCTTCAAGAAACACTTTTGAGTCAAAGGTAAAGACTGCGTTTCTGACAAAAAAATAAAACAAAAACATACAAAAATAATATTCCAACACTGCATAAAAAATGTTTTCATTGGAAAATGTCCGTTGATGGATTTCCGCTTGGCCTGAATTCTAACTCTGTAAAAATTTGGCCAGCCCTACATTTGTTTAAGCGAAGTGACGTGGCCTACAGAATTCGGGCTGCAAACCCAGATTCACGGCCCAACTCGAGGTGAACAAAATAAATACGCGACCGGCAAACTAAAGTTCACCGTCGAGTCGCATGCCAAATGGGACATTTCAGGCCCAAGAACTGGAGGACATTATCTCAATTTCTGGCAACTGCCTGATGATGATGATGATCGTAATGAGCAGCGAAACGTCGCAATCAAAATTGTACATTTTATGAGCTTAGTCTCAAAAGCACACCCGGTGTGCAAATTAGTAAACTATTGGCACTTGATGTTTACGTGACAAACCTGACTAATTCGGCTGTGTCGGGTAGTGGCGGATAAAACGACACATTTTATTTACGCTATCTAACCCAAAACAAGCCTTTGGTCGCTTAAACCTACGACGCGTTCAACTGATGATGATGCTGGTTGTACAGTGAGGGAAAATAGTATTTGATCCCCTGCTGATTTTGTACGTTTGCCCACTGACAAAGAAATTATCAGTCTATAATTTTAATTGTAGGTTTATTTGAACAGTGAGAGACAGAATAACAACAACAAAATCCAGAAAAACACATGTCAAAAACTGTTATAAATTGATTGCATTTTAATGAGGGAAATAAGTATTTGACCCCTCTGCAAAACATGACTTAGTACTTGGTGGCAAAACCCTTGTTGGCAATCACAGAGGTCAGACGTTTCTTGTAGTTGGCCACCAGGTTTGCACACATCTCAGGAGGGATTTTGTCCCACTCCTCTTTGCAGATCTTCTCCAAGTCATTAAGGTTTCGAGGCTGACGTTTGGAAACTCGAACCTTCAGCTCCCTCCACAGATTTTCTCTGGGATTAAGGTCTGGAGACTGGCTAGGCCACTCCAGGACCCTTAATGTGCTTCTTCTTGAGCCACTCCTTTGTTGCCTTGGCCGTGTGTTTTGGGTCATTGTCATGCTGGAACACCCATGCACGACCCATTTTCAATGCCCTGGCTGAGGGAAGGAGGTTCTCACCCAAGATTTGACGGTACATGGCCCCGTCCATCGTCCCTTTGATGCGGTGAAGTTGTACTCTCCCCTTAGCAGAAAATCACCCCCAAAGCATAATGTTTCCACCTCCATGTTTGACGGTGGGGATGGTGTTCTTGGGGTCATAGGCAGCATTCCTTCTCCTCCAAACACGGCGAGTTGAGTTGATGCCAAAGAGCTCCATTTTGGTCTCATCTGACCACAAAACTTTCACCCAGTTGTCCTCTGAATCATTCAGATGTTCATTGGCAAACTTCAGGCGGGCATGTATATGTGCTTTCTTGAGCAGGGGGACCTTGCAGGCGCTGCAGGATTTCAGTACTTCACGGTTTAGTGTGTTACCAATTGTTTTCTTGGTGACTATGGTCCCAGCTGCCTTGAGATCATTGACAAAATCCTCCTGTGTAGTTCTGGGCTGATTCCTCACCGTTCTCATGATCATTGCAACTCCACGAGGTGAGATCTTGCATGGAGCCCCAGGCCGAGGGAGATTGACAGTTCTTTTGTGTTTCTTCCATTTGCAAATAATCCCACCAACTGTTGTCACCTTTCTAGATTTAAAGCTTTCGTGACTGCAAGGATCCATACTCTTTGGTTCTATTCGGTAAAGTCACGTAGGTAAAAAAGAAAACAACAAAAATCACGACGTTTCGGCCACAACACAAGCGGCCTTCATCAGGTGAAGAGATCAGGCTGTCTCGAGGACAGCGCTGGAGTGGGGCGAGTATGTTGTCACCTTCTCACCAAGCTGCTTGGCAATGGTCTTGTAGCCCATTCCAGCCTTGTGTAGGTCTACAATCTTGTCCCTGACATCCTTGGAGAGCTCTTTGGTCTTGGTCATGGTGGAGAGTTTTGGAATCTGATTGATTGATTGCTTCTGTGGACAGGTGTCTTTTATACAGGTAACAAGCTGAGATTGGGAACACTCCCTTTAAGAGTGTGCTCCTAATCTCAGCTCGGTACCTGTATAAAATACACCTGGGAGCCAGAAATCTTTCTGATTGAGAGGGGGTCAAATACTTATTTCCCTCATTAAAATGCCAATCAATTTATAACATTTTTGACATGCGTTTTTCTGGATTTTCTTGTCGTTATTCTGTCTCTCACTGTTCAAACAAACCTACCATTAAAATTATAGACTGATCATTTCTTTGTCAGTGGGCAAACGTACAAAATCAGCAGGGGATCAGATACTTTTTCCCCTCACTGTAACTACCAGCGAAACGCCGTTAAACGTATTTGAATTTCATGGGACGCCACTTGCCAGGATCAAAATATAA